GGCTTAGAGGGGATCAGAAAAGAGTAAACTGTTTGATGTGAATCTGTCTCTTATACACATCTAGATGTGTATAAGAGACAGTATATATATATATATTTCGTCCAGATGCTGAAGAAAAGTTGATAAGCACAGCATAGAATAGGCAGCCCTTCTTGTAAAAAGATTTTGAGGGCTGGGAACATTTTAGTCTAAAAAAAATCATTTTTATACAATATTAGACTATAATCATTTACATATTCCTACACTATTTAGGAGCTCATCCGTCTGTTGATAGCGGTATAGTAACCAGACAAGTTTGCAAGAGTCTGAGCACTGATGGTGTAACAAATTGTTGCGAGTGGTCCTCCAACATTAGAGTCCAAAACTGTGGCGAGTATTTCATCTATTCTCTTCCAAAACTCAATGCTTGTGGGTCAGGTTTTTGCGCAGGTAATACATCTTTATTATCAATAATAATTATTTGAATACTAATACTGTACTCGATTTATTCTGAGGGTGAGCTGGCTTTGCTCGCTCACGCTTAATATGAGCACGTCGCGACAAGTTTTGATAAATAGGAACATATAAGATCACTAAAAGTTTATGTCATGCCAAAAACACTTGTTAGATTGTTTTATGATTTACAAAGCATACTTCTCAGTGTTGTACTGTTTTGGTCAGGGGAAACTAAAGCAAAGTTTTACTGTAACTCATTGAGATAACAAAAACCAAGTGTGCTTAATGAAAATCAAATGTTTTTGTTAACCGACTGTGCCATGCCTGAAAAACCGAGTGTGTTTGAAAATCGACTGTGCATGAATGTTGCCCAATAGGCATTCCATATATAAGCACAGAACAACCAGTTGAGACACGGCTACGGAATGGAAGTAGACATCAACAGCATGTGGTCGGAAACAGGTACCGTTCCAGTGAAAAACGTCGGTGAATGCTATTATTTTCCCCACAATTAATCTGAAATATAGATTGATATTCACTTCTTGGATCGATTATCTAAGTTTTCCAAGTGTTTAAGACCCGTAGGTTTTGAATCCCAGACGTATATTTTGCATTGTGTCTATTATCATCATTATTATAATTAAATACTGCAATTTATGTGTGCTAGCCTCTTCTTCCATTATTCTCCAACATCTCTTACATTTCTTCTAAGTTCTGTTGTTCATGTTGTTTCTGTCTAAAGTGTCATTGATAGTATCTATCCATCTTTTTCTAGGTCTTCCCCTGGGATGTTTGCCACTAGGTCTCCATTTATAGAATTTTTTGGTCACTCTTTCGCCGTCCATTCTATCTAGATGGCCAAGCCATCTCAGCTGTGCAGTGTCAATTTCGTTGCGTATCTATAGGTGTAACTCCTACTTGACTGCGGATCTCCTCATTTCTAACTCTGTCCAGTTTGGTTTTGTTGACAATGGCTCTGAGTGGTCTCATTTCTAATAGTTGTCAATGCCTATGTTTCCGCACTGTATATCAATGTAGGGATCAGGACTGTATTTTGACCTCTCCTTTGCATTCAACACCATGCAACCACATTTACTTACTCGTAAGTTGTTAAACATGAAAGTTCCAATTCAATTAACTGGTCTTGTTGTGGACTTCCTCACAAATAGATATAATTTTGTAAAACTGAATGATTATGTCAAATCTGAATGTTTAGTCAGTTTAAACACTGGTGCACCGCAAGGTACAGTGCTGGCTCCTTTTGTTTATACAGTAGAACCCCTATTAAGGGGACACCTTCGGGACCAAAAAATGTGTCCCCTTAATAGAAGTGTCCCCTGAATAGGGGTACCCATATTCAGGGGACACTAACCAAAAACATTAAATTGTCCCCTTATTAGGGGTTTTTGGCATGTTGTCATATAATATGACATAGGCCTACAATTCTTCATAATTTTATTTTTATTAACATAATTAGTTACAGTAGAATTATAACTAACTATTAGCAATAACTTTTTAAGGCAAATACAATTTAGTTATAATATGAAATCAGCAGAAATGTAATTAAAACAACAGTAGTTTTATATGTTCCCTATATAGTTTCATGATGCAATGTTATTGAATGAATTAGAATTATAAAAGTTCACGAAAAACCGAAGAAAACGAAATCCAAATTGTTAAGTGTCAAAATTGACAATATTGGTTTATACGAAGTAACACGTGTACTATGCCTTACCGATATTCACTCTAAAGATTTGGGGAGAAAATTCTGGTTCATTGCTTAAATTTCAAATTTCAAAATTCAATTTTAATTTATTCAGAAAACCTCGGGAACAGAAAAGTAAAGCAGTAAGCCTACAATAACTTTTAAACACTAGAACAATTTCATTAAAAAAAAAGTTATTCATACATATTCCAGAATAATTAAAATAAAGCCAAGAAAAAAATGGACAAATTCTCAAAATACAAAATTCAATCAAATCAATAAGAGGGGAGAACAGAACACCACTTAAACAGATGCAAGCAAAACACCAAACTACTACCAAAACAAAAACGGATTATTTTACTTCGTTAAAAATTACTTTTTGCAATTTCAGTTAAATTAATTTATTATTATTATTATTATTATTATTATTATTATTATTATTAATATTATTATCAATATTATTATTATTATTATTATTATTATTATTATTATTACGTAGTCTAACAAAAGCTCGCACTTGACAAACAGAGTAGAAAGGTGATAATAGTTAGAAAAGTAATAAAAGTACCTTAATAAGTTGCTCTAAATGTGTAAATTATTTTACTTCGTTCAAAATTCTTTTTGCAATTTCAGTTAAATTAATTATTATTATTATTATTATTATTATTATTATTATTATTATTACGTAGTCTAACAAAAGCTCGCCTTTGACAAACACATGAGAAAGGTGATAATAGTTAGAAAAGTAATAAAAGTTCCTTAATAAGTTGCTCTAAATGTGTCAATATTTAAGATTTTTTTTTTAGATTTAATTTTACTTATTTTGAGACTGTTGTATTTATTGTAATACAATAAAAACAAAATAAGTGTCCCCTTATTAATGGGGGTTATTTGACCATTTGGCACACTCAGAAGGTGTCCCCTTAATAGGGGTTGGCCGCAGTGTTGAAAGATATATCGCCCCTCGTTTCATGGAAAAGTGTCCCTTTAATAGAGGTGTTTCATGAATAGGGGTGTCCCAAAGGAGGGGTTCTACTGTATTGCGTTTACATCTGACTATAGGTCCGGCCATCAAAACTGTCCAGTTATCAAATTTGCTGATGATACTGCAATTTTAGGCCTTATCAAACATGATAACGACCGCTATTACACACCTGAATTGAATGCTTTTCCAGATATTGTAAAGATAATCTTCTTAAACTCAAGTTTCCAAGACCAAAGAAATGGTTATTGATTTCCATATAAAATACAAACAGGAAATATCGTCATTGATAATAATCCAGTGGAGATGGTATCCAGTTATAAGTACCTTGGAGTAAATATTGATAACAAACTAAATTTTAAATTAAAGCACATAGAATTTGTCAGGGAGAAATTGAACATTCGCATGTATTGCCTTATGAAAATGAATGCATTCATTTTAACACTAAAATCATTACAATGTTCTATTCGTCTGTAATTTGTGGGGTCTGGAGCTATTGCTTAACAGGTTGGGGAGGTAATGCGTGTCAATATGATAGAGAATTAATAGACCGTTTGATTAGAAAAGTCAGTAGAATCACAAAGACACATCTGCCTTCAATTGACTCTGTATATCACGATATGATGACTGAGCTATTCCGTCATATCATGAATGACGAAAGTCATCCGCTTCATAATATGCTTCTTGGCTCCGTTAACCCTAGGAGCGGTGGTATAAGAGTACCGATTACAAACACAAATAGATATTATCGTAATTCATTTATCGCTAAGGGTATAAAATACTTCATTGAAAATTATGAAAGATAGATAATAATCATAATATTGTAATAATAATAATAATAATAATAATAATAATAATAATAATAATAGTATTAGTAATAATGGTGATAATGATAATAATTGTAATGATAAAAATAATAATAATAATAATAATAACAATAATAATAGTGGTTATTATTATTATTATTAAAAAAATAATAAAATAATAATGATAATAATTCTCCTATCCATTTTGTTCCTAGTACGTTTGCTGCTGTTTCCTTAACAAAATTTAAAAAAGTTTGCAGTTTCCTTTGTTCCTGCGCCTATTTTCTCAAGATTGTCTTTCAGTATAGAAATGTTTTTATTTTCAAGTGACTTTTTATATTAATGATTTTCCTTTTGCTTTAACTTTTTTTCTTTAATCCATTTACAATCAGGTCTGCAATTAATAATCTGTGATCGGAGTCAAATGTATGTACTGCGAACATGGATATATATACATATAGTCAATGATTGACATCTGGTAAAATTTGCGGAGTTTTGATTCCACCTTTACCTTGTAAATCTGTGTGACCTTTGGTGCTAAACAAAACCGTTCTTTCAATTGTTTATAATACAAAAGTCAGGCCAAAGGGTCCGAAACATGTTCAATTCCGGCTCTGCCGCTTCCTATTCTGCCATTAAAATCCCCTACAGCCCTACCTGTATCTTGTACCGGTATGTGATAATGATCTCTAATATAACCTGTAGAAGGTTTCCTTCTGTTCAGTTGTATGGCCTTGCTGAGGTGCTTGATAGATGTGGTACTTCTCTGTATGCTAAGTGTGCATTTCATTAGTCTTTCACTTATTAGGCTCACTTCTTGAATGTGTGGCGAGAGTCTACGTCCTACAATTATGGCTTCATAATTTCTCCTCCCTACGTCCGTCCAGTACAAAACCTCCTGCCTTTTTCTTTACCGCGATGTCTGGTTTCTGCGAGACCAATACTGTCTATTTTTCTTCTTCTCATTAGAGCTAGAATCTCATTTTCTTTGTCTTTATAAGTAGCAATGTTGATTGCTCAACATATGAACGTTGTATTTCTGTTTCCGTTATTCTTATTTCGCTTGTATTTCATTGGTCGTCTCCGTTTAGTCATTTGCCCTGTCTCTTATACACATCTAGATGTGTATAAGAGACAGGCCTACATATATGCGTGATGGTGAGTATAACAAAATGATGAGGATGAGAAAAAATGATTCATGATGTGAAAGGCCAAGGTTCATATCAATGTTTATTATTTTTTAATTTCAGGAGAAGAGATGCCATGTCCAAAAGGAACAAATTCTCCGAATGGCTATACTCCCAATTGTATGGGTGAGTGGTATTTGTCATAAAATTAAGGATAATATATATACAATTATGACTGTATGATAATAACATTCTTCTTATTCATCATTTTCGTCGTCACCGCCGTCATCATAATCATTTAAATTCTATAACACTTAAATCGATCATTAAAAAAAACAAATAGATTCCCTATTGTGGGTATGGTATAAAATCATATATGGGCCCTTATATGGGCATGAAACCACAGCATCATGTCGATATAGGTCCAAATTACATAAATTTCTTATATAAAATTTAAAGGTGTGGAAAGAGCTTTAGTTTTTCAGCGTTATTGTTCTGTTTGGCAGCTGGCCCACCGGTCCTGACCACACCGCCCCTGTTAGTGTTAACAGAAAACCAATTTGGACTGCTGTTGGAATGTTCGTTTTCATTTCAACAATTTTCAAACATGACATTTGATGTAACGTGGTTTGGTGATGGAACAGAGTTGCCCGCAGCAAGTGTTTCCTTAACAACGGAAAGAATTGCAACCCTGACGCAACAACAAATTGGTGACGTATTTGATGACAATCAGGCGATCACTGTAAGTGTGTAAAACAATGATAAACTATTTATAGAACATTAATATGTAAATAGGTACCGCCTGCCAAAAATAAAAAGAAAAAACTCCTTTGAAAAAATCGAACCATAATCAGATGGAACAATTTTTTTTTACTGATTCGTAGACATTTAACTACAAAAATCCAATATAAGATATGAAAAATAGTTCTATGGCAGACTAATTCATATATGGAATCTTACGATAAAGTTGATTATCAATGAATGTACAAGAATACGAGTAATAGGCCTACAGCACGCATTACTGATGTTGAAATCCAAATTTACTATTTTTGTATTTGTTTTAATGTGTAGATGACCTGCAAATTAAACGCTCGCTTCATTTACCCTGATGGATCACCAAAAAGTCCAAACAGCCAAACTTTGGAAAGTAAGGAAGTACATCTGACTGTGTAAATTGCAATTAGAGTACAACTACAAACTACAACTGATACCCGTGGTGTACTTGCTTCAAATAATACAATATAATCGAAACGGTTTTTTGTTTTGTTTTTTTGTTTTTAATTTTTATCATTACCATCATTATCATCATCATCATAACTCTAGATTGTTATCGGGGTAAATTACACGTAATGCTAATACTAACAATCTGCATTTGCTTCAAATATAGTATACAATATAATAAGCGAAACTTTTTACCATAAAGAATCATCATCATCATCATCATCATCATCATCATCATCATCATCATCATCATCATCAAATAATGTCAATATCAACATTTTATTGACCATTATTTTTGTTTATTCTTATTGCTATGAATATTAATATCCTTATCATTGTCATTATTACTAATACATCATCTCAAGATGACACTTATAATAGGCACATGTGAGGTGCCATGTCACAAAATCAGCATTGTGGTACCAAACATGAAAAAATAGGCTACAAGCGGAAGCGTGTGTCTACTGATTTTTGACATATTTTAGTATTTTGCTAATGTAGTGACTTTTAAGTGAACTTTCTAGGACAGGTCTTATAATTTAACTTTATTCATGGATGTATTATAGTTCACTGTAATATCCCTATGCTTTACTTTAGGAAAGACCTTATCTAATGGAATCATATTTCGTAGACTTGTTTTCATTTCTAGCTTTAGCTCATGACTCATCCCATCATTCTTCCATACATTATTTACACTCATGACTTCTACCGGATTTAATCTTCTAGAATTAACTGCCAGATTATGATATAGTGTCTACGCCCCAGGGGGCAGTACACACAAGAAGTTGTTGATATTAGATTTTAGATAGATCGAAGCTAAGCTTTGTTCTTAGAATCAAACTAATAATAAAAAAATTGCATGTATAGAATTAGTATTCATTGTAGATTATTTGGTGTCAAATTTATCTTTTTAATTTTATTTTTATTCATATGCGTAGGGTCTGTATATACACTGAATTATTTGAACAAAACAGACAACTTTTAGAAATCACCACTATTTTATTTCGATCTTTCTGAAGATACATTTACCTCACCAATGACGCAATTTACAATATGTAGGCCTACATTAAGGCAATTTTATTCTCAATTAGATTTACCCCATTAAATAGGCCAAAGACCGCTTGACATTCTTAAAAGAATATAATTCCCTGTCTGATCTTATGGTAACGTGCGTACCAAGTAACGTATATTTTATTTGCACGTATGTAGCAATTAATGTTTTATCTACGATATATTTATTAGGTGACGTTTGTATCATTGGCAATCACTCACATAGTACACAAGAATATACAGTAATAGTAAAAAGATCTAAATTAACAAACAATATGCTGATAAATAAAAATAGCATCAAAAAGCAAATTAAGCCGAAAAAACTCCAATGGTACAGTAATAACAGAAAAAACCCAACTTTTATCATTTACCAGCCTGTTTACCAGTAGTTGTAGAATAACTAAACTAAATAGTAAATAGCCGCCTACTGGTATATTCTTGGTATCTTAATTTATTGCTAAAAAATTAAAAATACAATAGCAGCCATTGGCTGAATTAGAGTATTCGGTTCTTATTACAGTTTAAAAATTTAAAATTAACATTGCACAAGACCAATAAGAAATACAAAAACAAAAATATCAACAATCCCAGTATAAAAGATTAAATATTAAAATAGCACAAGACCAAATCGAGTTAATATTATATACAAATAAAAATTAAATTCAATAATTACAAAAAAAACCATTACACAGAAACCACAACCATTAAAAACAGACAATATCCAACCTAATTGAAAAACAGTAAATACAAATAAGGATTAAATACAACATAAACTAGAGATACTATGTTCAATAGAACATGAACCCAGTCATTTTTTAAGAGATAACCACTGTGACTTTTAAGCTCAATCTGTGTGAACACCCCATTTTTGGTAGGAGTCTGTCTAATGCAATTGGTCAAATAATTAGTCACTAACAATCAAAATGAAAGCTTTTCCTATGAAAAGGTCATTCAGATAAATTTGACTTTTATGCATGAACGCACTAACAGCAGAAAACTTGAAATTCGTAGCTGCTCTTGGCCTTAAGCGAGTGACGTCATTCATAGACAGGGTAAACACAATTCTGAATACAAAATTTTAAAGAAAAAAAATGATCAATGGTTATTTAAGCAACCAGCATGGGACTTGCATGGTAAAAGAAAGCTTAATTTATGAGCTACAATTGACCGTTCACCCAGAACAGATTTATGGTAAAAAGAAGCAGGAAGTATACCAAAAAATAAAACACACTAATTTTAACCTTTTTCCTATGCAAAGCATAAGAGATAGTCAACTTTGAAAGAAAAATGATCACTCAATTTTGAATTAATTGTAAAAATAAGTAGATGATTATAAAGCTTAAAACATCTAGTTTCATAATCCAATCACACCAGATTGCCAAATAAAACCATTCAAATTAGATAATCGATTTTGTGAGAAAAGGGACTTTTAATGTGTTAAAGTGTGCAGTGAACCGTTCAGTGAGCAGATGTCCTCAAGGTATTGCACTAAAAGGTATTGCACTAGAGTAGTTTAATGCAGTGCAAAGGGAGACAGAACGAATACTTGGGATGGCTAAGGGAACTGGGCATTAAGTGTGAGATTAGTAACAATATTGATAATTGACCCTTTTATTTAACAGACGAGTGAGGTAGGTAATGGGCTACTGAAATAACGAGTGGTTTTACATTTATATTCCTGGTATCCATTCTCAGTGCCTCCTAAGTGCAACCACATTTGTGGCTCTCTTAAACCAGGAATTAAAGTTCGAAGACTGCAAATGATCTACATAAACTGATTCTCCTATCAAGAGATTGAAGTTGGAGAGTGTGTAGTGCATTCTGATAATTTGAGTATTCCCGTCCTATGACAATCCGGCAATTTTTTTTTTCTTTCTAATTTGTTTATATGACTACCAGACAATTTTTTATTTGATTTACAAATCAATTCGTTAATGTGGGTGTTAAGATTAGATTGCAAACTTATTCCTAACAACTTTACATGAGTTCCAAAGTTCAATGGTTTATTATTAATACTCAATTGAGAAGGTGTTGGATTACTTTTACCAAAATGAATATGCAGAGCTTGACACTTTTCAGGATTTAATGTTAAATTATTAGAGGTACTCCATGAATCTAACACATCTGGAGCTGATCCTTGCACATTTTAGTTTGTTTGAGTCCATCCATATAAACAATAAAGCTTTTATCTCATTCATCGTAAAAATAAAATAAGAATTTTGTGCTAATACTCTCAGAATAGGTAGTCATAAATGTGCTTTGTGCCGCTAGCACTGATTGACTCATTTGTATCATGTGACCCAAAAGCGCCAATCACGTTCAAGATTACATCCCGTGTCCAGCATTGATTAAAACATGCACAAACAATTTAGATAACACGTGGTGAAGGGAAGCGTGACGGGCCAGCATGTCAACATCAAAACGAAAAATATATGATTTTTTTTCTACGAAATCGGATGAAGTAGGTTAGTGTTTCACCCATGGTATTATCATTTACACTTTGTGGTCATTAAAGCGTGGCTGTTAGGGCTGGCCTCCAAGTCAACCCAAGTTATGACAGTGGGTGATCAATGACACTCATGGCGAGACCCCAAGGTTTGTCAACGGATCAACACCGCCGTTTGTCCGTAACTTTTTAAATTTTAAATCGGAGGCGAAATCTAGATTTAGAATCAATTGAAATGACTGTCCTAGGAATGACACTTTGGAACTGTTGTAAATTTTATAAATTTGTGGCCCAACTTAGTTACTTAGGTGTTATCATTTAATATCACTTGGCGGCCAGCCCAAACAAAGCATGCGTGAATCAGGGGCGGATCCAGAAATGTCCAAGGGGGGGGGGGGCGGAAAGGGGGCCGAATGTTGGGCCGATTGAGACAACACTGTCGTAGGGGGTCCTATTAGCAATTAAAATCTTTGAATCTAGGCATAATCTGATAAAATCATCATCGAAATATGTATGACTGAACTAAAATACTAATTGCTTACATCTTGTGGATAGTTGAGGAAAATGTTCATAACAATAAGGGATGTTATCCGTGATAAAATCACCCTAAAGTTCCCCCTGTACGCTTTGAATCTAGGCATAATCTGATAAAATCATCATCGAAATATGTATGACTGAACTAAAATACTAATTGCTTACATCTTGTGGATAGTTGAGGAAAATGTTCATAACAATAAGGGATGTTATCCGTGATAAAATCACCCTAAAGTTCCCCCTGTACGCTTGTTGTAGATGATGAAGCTGAAATCAGCAATGAGGAGCAAATGATTGCTTTCATTCAATATTATATTAGGATACAGGTGGAATAGAATGCAAATACCTATTTATTGCAAATGTGCTGGAGAAATCGAACACTCCAGATACAGCGACTATACATCAAGTCATTTCATATCAGCTGCGTACTCTGAAGAAAAAAAAGAAAAACCTTGAATGGATTAGCCACTGATGGTGCAGCAATTATGATCGGCAAAAATAAGTCTTGCTGCCTTACTGAAGAAAGACCCAGATGCGAGTTCTCTAGTTTCAGTACAATGTGTCTGTCATCGGTTGGCACTTACACGCACAGACACCAATAAATGTATAAGAGACTGCGGTTAGACAGTTTTGAAATATTTTTGATGATTCACCTCCACACAAAAAAACTTAACCAACAAAGTATAAACGGAGTAATTTTGGGAAAGAAAGGAACCAAGAAACTGTGAAGGAAAATCTTGATCATTAATATACAAGTCATGAGTGAAGCCAATCTGTCTTGTTTTTCTTTATTAAAATTATTATAAACATTGATCAAATGTTTCACATTTTAACCAAAGGACAATGCATTGTCTCCTGGTGGGACCACCATGATCAAGCATATATCATCATTCATGATATGTTTGACCTTGTTCCTGTGCAACACATCACTAGTGTATTACAATAAGTAGTAAGTGTATTGTACAGACCCAGGTCCTCCTGCACTGAGGTTTCCTGGTTAAGGAAACGTGTGATATTTTTGCACACAGTAGTAAATAGTGCAAATGACACCAAGCGGAAGCAAAATGCAAGGAATATTAAACACACCAAAGCAAAACTACACTACACTATCACGCATGCCAGTGCAGCAAGCTTTTTTTTTGAATTTAGAAAAAAGTAATCTAGTATATTACACTCTACATGCACTATCACCACCATTCACCTAGCAGCTATGTTATTAAACACTCAGGCATGCTACAGAGGGTAACTAGGCATCCGAGAGTACAATAAGTCAACAATATTCTAGCACACTATGAAAGCAAGCAAGTAGTTCATGCAAGCCAAATTCTATGCCCAAAGAATGCAACATCAATCATTCGTCATGATCTGTCATAAAACCTTAAAAATAAAAGTAGAATTGTCATTTTATTCCAGAACAATTATTATGTGAATAAATATGTTACCTATGCGAACAAGGGCAAACAATTGGTGCGTTTGACTAGTAGAGACTCTTCAGTAAAAAGTCATTGAAGAAGATATATCCCAAGATATATATTTATTCATCTATTACAAAACCACTGAATCTCAATATACGTAATAATTTTTATAATTACAGTGATCTCTAATCACACGTCAGTACTAACATTTAAATGCATTCAATATTAACTATATATTCATACTGGCCTAGCATTAAATCAATAACTTTCATTGATGGTTAAATTTAACATATCAATATATCATAAAAATTATATATTATAGTTAAATTTAAGATTAATGTAGAATGGACATAACATGCAAAATAGTTAAATTTAACATATCAATATATCATACAAATAATCTATTATAGTTAGAAATTTAAAA